AAAAAAATATATCGCTTCTGCACATCCAAGGTCAAGCCCTTTCATTTGACACCTCATTTTTGAAAATCGAATGAACGGCGCACATCTTATGCAATTAAAAAATTGCCTTCGCACAGAATAGTATCTCTAGCCACACCAACTTTCCGCGAATATTTGCCGCAGCATTTACATTCAGTTCAAAGTTGTTTGAAATATAAGGTTTTTAATTTTTCGAAGACCCGACCTTTGCCCCCTTATAGCACCTGTAATATAAGTTTGCAAATAAAAAGTTATAAACCATTTTAATAAGAGCAAAAGGCGGTCTACCACTGTATTTTATTACAACGCTTTTATCAACTTGCAGTGTTGTGTGTCCAGACACCATTTTAGCTATTTTTTTATATTATTTATTTAGCTTTTTATTTATTTACATATAACAATAAAACATTGTTTATTTGTATTTGGCCGTTAATTGAAGATTGTGATGATTTTTTTGAGTTCAAGGCCGGGTTGAAATAAAACAATCTGTTTTTGTTGTATAATAATAAAAAAAAATTTACCAAAGATTTTATTTCGAGCTTCGAAGGCCCATATCTCGATTTCGGAGGCTAACTTCGAAAAACGGAAAAAATACTTTTTTATTCATGACTCAATCTCTTAAAAAAAATTGTTTTGGCCCAATACCCAGCGTAGTACTGTACAGTGTAATGATTCTAGAATCTTCATTCGTGCATATTTTAACTAACAATATCTTATAAAGAGAAGTGCAAAATTTTTTCATCTAAAACGAGGACGAAATTCGAGGATATAGTAGTTTGCATATTAGTCCTTGACATATGTCAAAAATAAATATTGGAAATTTCCAAGGATATTCAAGGATAAAGTTTTAAAAGGAAATTTTCAACATTTATTCGTCCTGGTGCAACAAAAAATTTTTTTAATTCTACAGAATTTTCCTTTTAACTTATCCCCATATTGTTACCCTACAATGCACCAAATCTTGTAAATAAATTCTTGTAAATAATTTCATTGAATAATCATATCTTGGAAATTTCAAAATCCTTAAAAAAAATCCTGACGTCAGAGAGAAAAATGAAAAACGCAGTTATACTATATTTTGCCCCTAGTTTTGTGAATATATGGTCTTTTCCGTGTGTTTTAAAAATTTTTGGTTTTTGTCGCCCGGTGTTATCATTAAAGTTAAAATGTCTTAGTTAAAATAATAGAAAGTAATTTCTTTCTTTCTTTACCCGGACAATTGTTACATCGGTGGGCAACGACGCAATTACAAAAATTTAGACAGAGAAATCTTTTTCGATCGGGTTCAAATTGGGCGATTGTGAGGGCTTATTCACGATGACAATGTTATTTTCCACTTTTCAGACACTTGCGTACATGTATTTTTTTATGAAGGTTGATCCCTCGAACATTTTGGACGGAATTCAAGTGTATTTGCAAAAGTGCTGTAGCTGTAACAATCGCGTCGTTAAGAAGATAAAATATATTTTTTAATTTGCTATCAAAAACCCCACCTCCTTTCTAGTTGAAGAGTATATTTGTTGATGCAACAAAACGAAACAGATTTTCGGTTGAGCGGAGTAGAGGAGTAGGTGAGTAGGTTTCAAATTATTTCGACAAAACTGAACAAATCTACTCCCATCGGAGTTAAGTCCGAACGATGACTTACCGTGCATATGAGGCAAATTTACGCTCTTTTTTTGGTGCACAAAGTCAGTATCAGTGTTGTCACTTCAGAAACCAAATTAGTGATAGATTATTAATAAAAACAGTGGTAGATCTCTAACAAAGTGTAGTAGAATATTTGTAAACATTTTATTCGCCAAATTATACTTTTGCCAGGCAATTTTTTCTCGATGGAACTTTTATTATCTGCTAGTGTATTTCAGAATTCAGAACAAACATTAGTGTGATGTAAACAAGTGCAATAAGTTTTTAAGTGGATATAAATTTATTCATACGAAAGATGGATAAACAATACAACGTATAACGGTGTGTTCGTTTCTAACAAAAAATTTTGCCTTTTCACCTCTCTTCGCGTTCGATTCTAAAATAAAGACAAACCGTGAGCAAATTTTGTGTCCGTTTCTTAAAATGCGACACTTTTGTAAAGCAAAAAACGCACATTATCTGCCCTTTGAAGCTTTGTCAGGTGAGATGGTTACCACGAAAATTAGATGATTGCTTAAAACGATAATATTATGAAATGCTTGAGATGGACAAGGAGAAGAAGGCAAAGACATACACTTTTAAAGGGTTGAGTGTAACATTAAACACATTTTGCACTGTCAAAGGGCAACATTTTTTGGAAGAAACGAGATCACCGTAAATAATATTATAATTTAAACACACTGAAAATTCATTGCACTCGTTCAACTTTTGTTTCCTATGGAAATGTATCACCAGGAAAATCGAATCCTGTAAATGCAGTTTTAGACTGGTTTCCACTATGTCGTATTTTGTCAACAAATTTTGGCAACATATTTTGAAACAACTTTATTTCTTTTTT